TCAAGAGCATGCCTTAAAAAAAACTTTAGGGGTGCAGTCAGTAAAATGCATAGCCACAAGAACAAGACCTGAGTTCAATCCTAAGCACCCATGTAAAAAGGTTGGGCATGGTAGTACATGGTTATAGTTCCAGTGCTAGGGAGGATTAGTGGATACCTGGGGGTTCGCTGGCCAGCCAACCCAGCTTATTGGCAAGTCCCAGGTTCCAGTAAGAGACCCAAGCTCAAAAACCTAGGTAGAAGCCACGTGTGGTGGTGCATGCCTTTAATCCTAGCACTCGGCCAGATTCAAAATAAATTTTTTTAAATCTTTCTAATCAAGACCTCTTGTCCTCAACAATACTTCTTTTCATTTTAAGTTACTTTGTCAGGTATCTCATCTGTTAATTGCTCATTTCCTGAACTTCAGAAGAAACCACTTATATTCTAAATAATGACATTCATTTTTATTCCAATATCCATGTTTATTTCTATTCTATCATATTCTAATCTACTGACAATCGTTACCTAACATTGGTGAGGGGTAAGATTTCAGGGGGATAACTTTTTTTTTGAGAGACAAGGTCTTGCCCAGGCTAGCCTCAAACTGGTGAACCTCCTGCCTCTCGAGTGCTGCAATTATAGATGTGTACCATGCCCACCCTCTTACTACTGCACCTATGCATATATACATACATCATATACATATACAAATATGTACAGATAATACATACCATACATATAAATGTATGTTTAAAAACCTAAATAATTAGCCAGGTGTGGTGGCACACCCCTTTAATCCCAGCACTTGGGAGACAGAGGCAGACGATCTCTGTGAGTTCAAGGCCAGCCTGGTATACATAGTGAGTTCCAAGACAGCTGGGGCTACAGGGAGACCCTGTATCAAAAAGACCAAAAAAAAAAAAAAACCCTAAATGATTACTACCAAATAGTGCCGCAGCATTTGTCTGTGAAAGTTCTGTCTGCTAACATGTTCCTGCTATTATCATTTTTACTTTGCTTATACAAAATACTTACTTGAAAGTCTTTTCTAAATTTATTTATTTTTATTTTATGTATGATCATTGTGTATATTCTATGAGTGCATGCAGTGCCCCCACAGGCCAGGAGGGAATCAGATCCCCTATAGCTGGAGTTATGAATAGTTGTTAGCAGCCATGTAGGTACTGAGAACCAAATCCAGGTTCCTCTACTAGAGCAGCCAGTGCTCTTAACCACTGAGCCATCACTCTTAGCACTGAAATAGTTTTACTTAATATAAAATATAAATATCTTTAAGAAGCAGCCACAGGGCTGGGTTTGTTAGCAGTAGTAAAATGGATACACAACATGGGCAAAGCCCTAGGCTCAAACCCAGAAGAAAGTTGTTTTTATATCAGCCGTATGTTCAAAGAAAATTAATATAGAAATATAGGTAATCATTAATTGAAGGGAAGCAAGTTACTTAAAAATGTAACCCAGTGTACTAGTTGACTTATTAGTGAGAATTTACACAGTCATGATCTCAAAACACTTAGATTTAATCAAAAGTTGTAAATTAATAATACTAAGATGTAGAGGAAAAAATCTACGATAAAGCATAAAATTTATCTACCATAAGAAGTTGATAGAGGGCTGGTGAAATGGCTCAGTGGGTAATGGCACTTGCTGCCAAGCTTGACGAACAGAATTCAATCCCTGGCACCCACCATGGTAGGAGAGAACCAACTCCAGAAAACTGTCCTCTGACCTCCATACCTACAGTGAGATGTGTGCATACCCTCATACATATATGAATAAATATAATTTAAAAAATTTTAAAGTTGATACAGTACATTTAAAACTGATCAACCATGAACAATACTACACACACACACACACACACACACACACACACACACACACACAATAGATAGATAGTAAAATTTTAAAGTATAAAGATCATGCCAGGCATGATGGTACACTTTTTTCATTCTAGCATTCTGGAGGCAAACAGGTGGATCTCTCTGAGTTCAAGGCCAGCCTAGTCTACATATACATAGTGAGTGCCAGGCTAGCCAGGACTGATTAGTAAAAGCCTGTCTCAAATGAAGAAAGAAAGAAAGAAAGAAAGATAGAAAGGAAGGAAGGAAGGAAGGAAGGGAGGATAAAAGACAGGCAGGCAAGCTGATCTGAGTCCAGGGCAACATAAGCTAGTGAGGCACCAACTCAAATAACAATAATAATGATGATAATAATAATAATAATAATAATAATGACACAGTAATAGAAAATAAGGGTTGGAGAAATGGCTCAGCAGTTAAGGGTACTTGCTGCTCTTCCAGATGACCAGCATTCAGTCCCCAGCACATGTGTTGGGTAGCTCACAACCAACTGTAACTTCAGCTCCAGGAGATTTAATGTTCTCTTCTGTTCTCTGCAGGCAGTTGCATACATGTAGCACATATACACACACAAGCACATAAATAAATATTTTTACACTGGGCCTGATGGTACACTTCTTTAATCCCAGCACTTGGGAGGCAGAGCCAGGAGGAGCTCTGTGAGATCGAGACCAGCCTGGTCTACATAGTGAGTTCCAGGCCGACTGGGGCTACAGGAGATTCTCTCTATAAAAAATAAAATGAAGGCAAGAGTGTAAGAATCTGTCATCCTTAACTACAGGACAAGTTCAATGTCAGCCTTAGCCACATGAGACAGTCAAAAAACAAATAATGACAGAAAAACAGGAGTTCCATTAAATTTTCTTATTATCTATGTCCTGTAGCTAGAATCAGTATCAAATACATTACCATCAGATGAATAACCAGTGAGGCCTCCAAATATGACCAGCACATAGCTGACATCAAGCTCTCTCATGATTTCATACGCTTTTTCTTCTGTGGACGCCATTGCCTAGAAAAATAAAGTGCAACTCTCAAAGAAAAACTCGAAGCCAACCTCCTCTGATAGAAGAATATTTCCAGCAGACCTCACATACCAAACTTTTGAGGATCCCTTTACCTTACCTGCCCTACTCGAGAAATGTGGGTATTATTCCATGTGTTATTGTCTACTAAAATTGTCCGATTTGCCATAGCTGTAATTTGGTAGCCATAATCCCACCATGACATGACCTTAGCATCCTAAAACAAGAACAAAAATGGAAACGTGTCATCTCACTGCTCTTAAAAACCAAATGCAAGAGGACTGGTCATTAATCAATTCCTTTACAAAATAAAACACTTCTCACAAGAAAATATGACACTTCCTCCTCCATGTTTATAATCAGGAAATAGTACAAATTATACACAATCCACCATTTCCATATAACCTTCATCCAACATTCTCAAGTACCTTAAATACCAGATCATTGAAACATGCATAATGGATCAAAAGATGTAATGACTAAATAGATACCTTTGTGTCATTACATTATTTATTTATTGCCCTGGCGCTCTAAAACTTGCTATGTAGATCAAGTTGACTTCTAACTCACAGATTCTAACTCATAGAGTTCCACCTGGCTCTGTCTCCCAAGTGCTCGGATTAAAGTCCTATGTGACACATCCCTTGACCCCCACCACTGCTGGTCAATAGGCAAATAAGTAACCTTTAGTGATATTACAAAATAAATTGTTACAAAGCTGGAAGGGAGCCAGGCATGGTGGTGCATGCCTTTAATCCCAGCACTTGGGAAGCAGAGGCAGATCTCTTTGAGTTCAAGGCCAGCCTGGTCTACATTAGTGAGTTCTAGGACAGCTGGGGCTACAGGGAGACCCTGTCTCAAAAAGACCAAAAACAAA